TATATATATATATATATATATATCGTGGTGGTCATCTTCAATTTTGATGTGGCACCCACTTTCAAAAGCAATCGTTCTTATGTCTAGAAGCAGCTACACACCAAAAATGAAGTTTGCTCGTTGCTTATTTTTGATGTTATCTAGCTCACATAGTTTACATATTTATATGAGGGGACCATTTTGTACTTTAATGTGGCCACCCAGTTTTCAAAAGTAAACTTTCTTACTCCTAGATGCAGCCACGTACCGAAATGGAAGTTGGTACCTTACTTATTTTCCAAGTGATTATGTTCACAAAATGCACGGATGGATGGACAGATGGGTACTTCCTATACACTCTTTTAGCTCAGTGAAGGGAAACAACAAAGAACTACTCACAACTCGGTCTGTGGTTTTAATGAAACACGTCTGCATCAGTAAAATATTAAGTAAAACTCAGATTAAGAACTGGTTACCTTTCTTTAAAATTTTATGGATTTGTTTTGGGACAGAAAAAACAAACAAACATCTTAATCCCATCAGCCCCTATCAAACAACCAAAACCCTTCTCTGCGCTCAGTCTGCCTAAAACAAAAGTGAACATATGATTATGTAACACTTCACCTTCACCACTTGCTGTTAACACGTTGGTAAAAATAAAGAACCAAAGAATGGTGAAGTAACACCTTTATTACATAAACGTGTCATAGTTTTCACAGGAGGTTGAAGTTTTGTTTCTGGGTCTTTATTTTTCTTGTCTTTTTTCAGGCGTTGAAGTGAAACTAGGGTCAAACAAAAACACTTCAGTCATTTATGAATAATAAAACATGTTTCATAAAAACTAAAGTAGTCGTTAGTTTCAGGAGCCAAACGTCACTGCTTTCTAAAAGTGATTTTCTGATCCCTCTTAGATTCACATATTTCTATTGTTCATTTTCTCAGAGTGCAGTTACCCAAAACTCAGGAAGATTCAAGAGACTCAAGATAAGGAACATCAATAAATATATTTACAGTATTTACAACAGTGGGATTCAGGTGGAAACGAGCTAATATCTGTGGATGCAAAATGAAGATGGTAAGTATTTTCTTTTGGGCAGAGGATCTTCTGCAAGATTTTATATAAAAACAGAGGAGGCCTACACAGGTTGTAGGTGTTCAGGTTTAGAGAGGAGGGTGATATTCCAGGTTCCAGGAAGGTGAGTATGGTAGGCGAGCTGCACAGGTTGGTGTAGGAGAGTGTCAGGTTGGACCAGGATGAAGAATTAGTGACAGATATTTCAAATTGTACTGTTCGTATGAAGAGGATTGGTTTTAAGATGATGGTCCAAGGCAAATTCAGGCTGGAGGATAAAAGTAAGTTTCAGATGTGGAGAACACAAGAAACGGATTCTCATCGGTGAGAAGCACAAGGAAAACATCTTAAATTGCTTTAAACTGATTTCCTTAAGGCTCTGGATGTTGTGGGGTTGTCTTGGTTGACACACCTTTGCAACATGGTGTGGAAATCTGGGGCAGTGTCACTGGATTGGCAGACTGGGGTGGTGGTTCCCCTCTTCAAAAAGGGGGACTGGAGGGTGTGCTCCAATTACAGGGGCATCCCTCTCCTTAGCCTCCCTAGTAAGGTCTATTCAGGGGTACTGGAGAAGTGAGTCCTATCGTTGGTCAAACCTTGAATCCAGGAGGAACAATGTGGGTTCCGTCCTGGCTGTGGAACACTGGGTCCTCGAGGAGTCATGGGAGTTTGCCCATCCAGTCTACGTGTTTTGTGGACTTGGAGAAGGCATTCAACCATGTTCCTCAAGGTACACTGTGGGGGGTGCTCCGTGAGTATGGGATTGGGGCCTGTTGCTGCGGGCTGTTTGGTTCCTTTATAAAGAGAGCAAGAGTTTGGTTTATATTGCTGGCAGTAAGTCGGACCCCTTCAGGGTGGGAGTTGGACTCCGCCAGAGTTGCCCATTGTCACGATTCTGTTCATAACTTTTAAGGACAGAATTTCTCAGTGCAGCCAGGGGGTTGAAAGAGTCCAATTCGGTGGCCTCAGGAATCCATCTCTGTTCTTTGCAGATGATGTGGTCCTGTTGGTGTCACTGTGACGTGATCTTCAGCTCTCAATGGAGCAGTTCGCTGCAGAATGTGAAGCGGCTGGGATGAGAATCAGCACCTCCAAATCTGAGGCCATGATTGTGTCAGAAAAGGGTGGATTGTTACTTTCAAGTCCAGGGTTAGGTTCTGCCTCAAGTGGAGAAGTTCATGTAGCTCGGGGTTTTGTGAGTAAGGGAAGAATGGAGTGTAGGTATTGACAGAGAATAGGTGGTGCAGCATCTGCAGTATTGTGGACTCTGTGCCGGTTCGTTGTGGTGAAGAGGGAGCTGAGTTGTAAGGCAAAGCTCTCTGTTTACCGGTCAGTCTATGTTCCTACCCTCACCTATGGTCACGAACTCTGGTAAGGATGCTTCCTGGGCACCTCCCTAGGGAGGCTCTTAGGGCATGTCCAACTGGGAGGAGATCCCAGGGAAGACCTAGGACATGCTGGAGAGATTGCGTCTCTTGATTGGCCTAGAAACGTCTTGGGAGTCCTCCCAGAAGAGCTGGAAGAGGTGGCTGTGGAAAGAGATGTCTGGACCTCCCTGCTCAAGCTGCTGCCTCGTGAACTGACTCGGAACAAGCGGCTGATGATGGAAGGATGGATTTTAAATTGCACTAGGATCTCTGGCCGCTCATTGAATTCCATAGAGTAGACAATATCTTGGTGTTGTCCTCTGGCAGCTTTAGTCCTTAAATAAAGCAGGTGGCTCATTAGAGGGACGAGCCACAGCTGAGGATAAGAAAACTCCTCCCTGCCACTTAGGAGCTGAAAAAAGGTGACGTGAATACAGAAACTAGGTGAATCTACATAGAAATATGAACAAGAATGACCAGATTATAAAGAAAAATGGAGGAGTGTTTTGTTGTTCCTCCATTTTTCTTCTCATGACCTTTTCTCCCCTTGTCTTCTTTGATTTTAATTTAATTTGTCCTTTACTCTTTCATCAGCAGCTCCCTCTTTATTTAACCTGTTTTTTATATAATTGTTCCTCCACTCTGCTTTTTTTGTTCATCCATTTTTTTTCCCTTTTCCTGCCTTTGTACATTAACTTCCAAATTTATTTTCTTTCCTTTCAATTTTCTTATTCCTTACAGCATTTTCTGGGAATTTCCTACCTTTAATTTGTTTTTATATTATGTTCTTCCTTATTTACCTCTGCCCTACCTTTCACCCTTTTCCCATTTTACTGTGTTAATGTCCCATTCTCCATAAAGATTTATCTTTTTTCTTTGATACTTCCTAGTAGATGTATTTTCTAGTGACCATTTCGCAGCACGTTTCATTTATTCCTTTGCTTCTTGATCTTGTCACCTGAGAGTTTTGCGGACCATATCCTCGTCGGTGATGCCGTAGTAGGTCAGGGTCTCGTTCCAGAAGGGGTTGAGGGTGTTGTGCAGGGTCTTGGTTCTGAGTTTATTGGCCTGAAAGACAAACACATTAGCTGTTGAACACAACTGAACCCAGACTCTTTCTCTTACAGCTCAGCAGAACTCATCCCATTTACTCCAGGCCAGAATTTTCTAAATTTATTTGAAGATTTAAATGTTTTCAGCCGGTGGAATCGAGTCCGTTTACAATGATGTCTAAATACCGAGCTGAAATTCGGTGTGGTAGTAGCTGAAACTGATACAAAGCTGATACTTTGAGCCACATATTTGCTTAAAACTTTGGCAACAGCTGTTGGAGTCAACCTAGTTTGTCTGTTAGCAAAATATCTCGTGAAACACTGGATGGATTTTAAGAAAACTTTCAGAAAGCAATCGTTGGTTGGATAATAAGAACTGATTCACATTTGGAGTCAATCTAGAACAAGATGGCTGCACCAGCTAACTTTATCCAACACAAAAAAGGTTATACCTTGGTGAATTTTAAAGACATTGTGATAAAATTAGGTGTGGTAGTAGGTGATCATTATTCACAACACATCCTTCAAGCACAGATCATACAAGCACTCATTATAGAAAAAGTGTATCTTTTTTTGTCATGATTTGACTAAAAATAGCTACAAATCATTATTTCGCCACACAAGATATTAATCTAAAACTGGCATTCTTGAAAGAAAGATATTGTTTGAACATTTTTAAATAATTTCTCAGTCGTACTACCAATTATTTATTTCATGTTTTTAGTGTCTTATTGTCCTAATCCGTATTTTTTTGGTCCTGAACATAAATCTGAGTCATTTAGGATTAAATGTTGTCTGATACGGAGTCAGAGTCTAATGTTTGCTATAATTTATCTTTGTTAACAACACACTTGCAGATTACACACACTTGCAGATTACACACACTTGCAGATCACACACGATCGTAAAGCCCCACTCGCCATGTGCACGTGTGGCACCCTGGATACAAATACTTCCTTAATCTGTATCTGCATGTAGTTTATTAAAGTAATAAAGATTAACATAATTATGTGACTGAACTGTCTCAAGTTCCACACTCAAAAATCTGTCTTCATGTTATTCTGAAAGTTTTTTTACTTTGTATTATCAAGAAAAAAAAAGGTAGTTTAAGTTTTTTAAATGCTTTGATCAGTCATTAGCTTCACTCGTTCATGAGAATTTCTCCCTGATGCTCCAAACTGAGAACATTTTGAATGCTGTCTGCTGCAGGTAAGATAATGACTGCTCATGACTACTCAGTTTAGCAGGATGATGCTAATTGTGAAGGTCGAGCAGCTCTTAGTGGATCGTTGGCGGGGGGGGGGGGGGGGGGGGG